AGTGTGTTTCTGAGACCAGAGGGCAGCGAGTAGGGAAAAAATGTGCTTGTGTTTCCCGGCACCCGAGTACAGCTGGGAGGAGAACGTGTGTCTGACACCTAAGACAGGGGGAAAGGCCAGGGACAGTGTGTTTCTAAGACCAGAGGGCAGCGAGCAGGGCAAAAATGAGCTTGTGTTTTCCGGCACCCGAGTACAGCTGGGAGGAGAACGTGTTTCTGACACCCAAAGACAGGGGGAAAGGCCAGGGACAGTGTGTTTCTGAGACCAGAAAAGGACAGTGAGACCAGCAAAGGACAGTGTGTTTCTGAGACCAGAGGGCCAAGGACAGTGTGTTTCTGAGCCCAGAGGTCAGCGAGCAGGGCAAAAAAGAGCTTTTGTTTCCCGGGAGCCGAGTACAGCTGGGAGGAGAACGTGTTTCTGACACCCGAAGACAGCGGCGATGGCGAAGGACAGTGTGTTTCTGAGAACAGAAAAGGACAGTGAGACCAGCAAAGGACAGTGTGTTTCTGAGCCCAGAGGTCAGCGAGCAGGGCAAAAAAGAGCTTGTGTTTCCCGTGAGCCGAGTACAGCTGGGAGGAGAACGTGTTTCTGACACCCAAAGACAGCGGCGATGGCGAAGGACAGTGTGTTTCTGAGACCAGAAAAGGACAGTGAGACCAGCAAAGGACAGTGTGTTTCTGAGACCAGAGGGCAGCGAGCAGGGCAAAAATGAGCTTGTGTTTCCCGGCACCCGAGTACAGCTGGGAGGAGAACGTGTTTCTGACACCAGAAGACATGGGGAAAGGCCAAGGATAGTGTGTTTCTGAGCCCAGAGGTCAGCGAGCAGGGCAAAAAAGAGCTTGTGTTTCCCGGGAGCCGAGTACAGCTGGGAGGAGAACGTGTTTCTGACACCCAAAGACAGCGGCGATGGCGAAGGACAGTGTGTTTCTGAGAACAGAAAAGGACAGTGAGACCAGCAAAGGACAGTGTGTTTCTGAGACCAGAAGGCAGCGAGCAGGGCAAAAATGAGCTTGTGTTTCCCGGCACCCGAGTACAGCTGGGAGGAGAACGTGTTTGTTGACACCAGAAGACATGGGGAAAGGCCAAGGATAGTGTGTTTCTGAGCCCAGAGGTCAGCGAGCAGGGCAAAAAAGAGCTTGTGTTTCCCGGGAGCCGAGTACAGCTGGGAGGAGAACGTGTTTCTGACACCCGAAGACAGCGGCGATGGCGAAGGACAGTGTGTTTCTGAGAACAGAAGGCAACGAGCAGGGCAAAAAAGAGCTTGTGTTTCCCGGGACCCGAGTACAGCTGGGAGGAGAACGTGTTTCTGACACCCGAAGACAGGGGGAAAGGCCAGGGACAGTGTGTTTCTAAGACCAGAGGGCAGCGAGCAGGGCAAAAATGAGCTTGTGTTTCCCGGCACCCGAGTAAAGCTGGGAGGAGAACGTGTTTCTGACACCCAAAGACAGGGGGAAAGGCCAGGGACAGTGTGTTTCTGAGACCAGAAAAGGACAGTGAGACCAGCAAAGGACAGTGTGTTTCTGAGACCAGAGGGCAGCGAGCAGGGCAAAAAAGAGTTTGTGTTTCCTGGCAGCCGAGAACAGCTGGTAGGAGAACGTGTTTCTGACACCAGAAGACAGGGGGAAAGGCCAAGGACAGTGTGTTTCTGAGCCCAGAGGTCAGCGAGCAGGGCAAAAAAGAGCTTGTGTTTCCCGGGAGCCGAGTTTAGATGGGAGGAGAACGTGTTTCTGACACCCGAAGACAGCGGCGATGGCGAAGGACAGTGTGTTTCTGAGAACAGAAAAGGACAGTGAGACCAGCAAAGGACAGTGTGTTTCTGAGACCAGAGGGCAGCGAGCAGGGCAAAAATGAGCTTGTGTTTCCCGGCACCCGAGTACAGCTGGGAGGAGAACGTGTTTGTTGACACCAGAAGACATGGGGAAAGGCCAAGGATAGTGTGTTTCTGAGCCCAGAGGTCAGCGAGCAGGGCAAAAAAGAGCTTGTGTTTCCCGGGAGCCGAGTACAGCTGGGAGGAGAACGTGTTTCTGACACCCGAAGACAGCAGCGATGGCGAAGGACAGTGTGTTTCTGAGAACTGAAAAGGACAGTGAGACCAGCAAAGGACAGTGTGTTTCTGAGACCAGAGGGCAGCGAGCAGGGCAAGAGAGCTTGTACGTATGCAGAGTATGGAACATTGTGCAAATTGTAAGAACTCACAATACACAGTCACCTTTACATTTCCTTCGTCTATATGACACTGCTTCCCAGGGTTGTGTGCTGTGCCAATTTGGGTGTGGATTTTAAAACGCCCCCCTAAAATGAACCTCCCGTGCTGTGCCCATGCATACTGCTGTATAACCCTCGTGTTGTCCTCGCATTGCCTACACACCCCGAGTCGAGCGGGTCAGAGTGACACTCGATCTCTTTTCACAGCCCTCAGAGTGTTGCAAAAAGGAGGAGGCCGATATACAACAACGTTCACGTGTTTCACTGTAATCGGTTTATTATTATTATCGCTACTAGTAATTATCTGGGAGGGTGAAAAAAAACACAGCCCAGGGTGAGGCTCGAACTCGCCACCTCGGCATCTAACCCCGCCGTTGTCCTCGCGTCGCGTACACAGCCCGAGTCGAGCGGGTCAGAGTGACACTCGATCTCTTTTCACAGCCCTCAGAGTATTGCAAAAAGAAGGAGGCCGAAATACAACAACGTGCGCGTGTCTCACTGTTATCGGTTTATTATTATCATCGCTGTTAATAATTATCTGGTAGGGCAAAAAAAAACACCGCCCCGGGCAAGGCTCGAACTCGCCACCTCGGCATCTAACCCAGCCGTTGTCCTCGCATTGCGTACACACACCCGAGGGGGATGCCCTCGTCCAGGGCCTCTTCATCCTTCGTTTCTGAGACCCGAGGACAGCGGGCAGGGCAAGAGAGCTTGTGTTTCCCAGGACTCGAGGACAGCGGGTAGGAGAACGTGTTTATGAGACCCGAGGACAGGGGAAAGGCCAAGGACAGCGTGTTTCTGAGACCCAAGGACAGAGGGGAGGGCAAGAGAGTGTCTGGGAACTACAAACACGCCACGAGTCTCAGCCCTGTCCGCAACCATCAGGGTCCCAGTGACCCTAGGCTGCGTAAGGGGTTACCTAGGTTGACCCGAGGACGGCGGGAGTGAGGGGGAATCTTACGCTCGGGTCGCGGGACCCGAGGGTAGTGTGAGGGTTAAGGAACTGCTGAGATTCAAACTCAGGATCTCCTGTTTACTAGACAGTCGCTTAAACCAACTAAGCCACAGCGCCGCAACGTGCTAACAATCTTTGAGGGTTTTGAAAGCAAATATGTATCTTCCAGACCATGAGACAAAATACAAGAATAAGCCATTTTCATAAAGGCACTGATGAGATAAAAACTCAGGATCTACTGTTTACTAGACAGTCGCTTAAACCAACTAAGCCACAGCGCCGATACGTGCTAACAATCTTTTAGGGTTTCGAAAGCAAAAATGTTTTCATAACCCTTGTGCTGTCCTCGCATCGTGTACACACCCCGAGTCGAGCTGGTCAGAATGACCCTCGATCTCTTTTCACAGCCCTCAGAGTGTTGCAAAAAGGAGGAGGCCGAAATACAACAACGTGCACGTGTCTCCCTGTAATCGATTTATTATTTTTATCGTTATTAGTAATTATCTGGGAGGGGTAAAAAAAGACACGTGCCCGGGCGAGGCTCGAACTCGCCACCTCGGCATCTAACCCCGCCGTTGTCCTCGCGTCGCGTACACACCCCGAATTGAGCGGGTCCGAGTGACCCGCGATCCCATTTCACACAGCCCTGGGAGTTTTGCAAAAAAGAGGAGGCCGAAATACAACAACGTGGGTATGTTTCACCGTTGTCCATCTGTTATTACTATCTTTTTTAGTGTTTATCGCCGAGGGTGTAAAAAACCACCGGCCCGGGCGAGACTCGAACTCACAACCCCGGGATCTAACCCCAGCCAATGTCCTCGCGTCGCGTACACACCCCGAATTGAGCGGGTCCGAGTGACCCGCGATCCCATTTCACACAGCCCTCAAGAGTTTTGCAAAAAAGAGGAGGCCGAAATACAACAACGTGCGCGTGTTTCACCGTTGTCCATCTATTCTTACTACCTTTATTAGTATTTATCGGCGAGGGTGTAAAAAACCACCGCACCGGGCGAGGCTCGAACTCACAACCCCGGCATCTAACCCCAGCCGTTGCCCTCGCGTCGCGTACACACCCCGAATTGAGCGGGTCCGAGTGACCCGCGATCCCATTTCACAGCCCTCAGAGTATTGCAAAAAGAAGGAGGCCGAAATACAACAACGTGCGCGTGTCTCACTGTTATCGGTTTATTATTATCATCGCTGTTAATAATTATCTGGTAGGGCAAAAAAAAACACCGCCCCGGGCAAGGCTCGAACTCGCCACCTCGGCATCTAACCCAGCCGTTGTCCTCGCATTGCGTACACACACCCGAGGGGGATGCCCTCGTCCGGGGCCTCTTCATCCTTCGTTTCTGAGACCCGAGGACAGCGGGCAGGGCAAGAGAGCTTGTGTTTCCCAGGACTCGAGGACAGCGGGTAGGAGAACGTGTTTATGAGACCCGAGGACAGGGGAAAGGCCAAGGACAGCGTGTTTCTGAGACCCAAGGACAGAGGGGAGGGCAAGAGAGTGTCTGGGAACTACAAACACGCCACGAGTCTCCAGCCCTGTCCGCAACCATCAGGGTCCCAGTGACCCTAGGCTGCGTAAGGGGTTACCTAGGTTGACCCGAGGACGGCGGGAGTGAGGGGGAATCTTACGCTCGGGTCGCCGGGACCCGAGGGTAGTGTGAGGGTTAAGGAACTGCTGAGATTCAAACTCAGGATCTCCTGTTTACTAGACAGTCGCTTAAACCAACTAAGCCACAGCGCCGCAACGTGCTAACAATCTTTGAGGGTTTTGAAAGCAAATATGTATCTTCCAGACCATGAGACAAAATACAAGAATAAGCCATTTTCATAAAGGCACTGATGAGATAAAAACTCAGGATCTACTGTTTACTAGACAGTCGCTTAAACCAACTAAGCCACAGCGCCGATACGTGCTAACAATCTTTTAGGGTTTCGAAAGCAAAAATGTTTTCATAACCCTTGTGCTGTCCTCGCATCGTGTACACACCCCGAGTCGAGCTGGTCAGAATGACCCTCGATCTCTTTTCACAGCCCTCAGAGTGTTGCAAAAAGGAGGAGGCCGAAATACAACAACGTGCACGTGTCTCCCTGTAATCGATTTATTATTTTTATCGTTATTAGTAATTATCTGGGAGGGGTAAAAAAAGACACGTGCCCGGGCGAGGCTCGAACTCGCCACCTCGGCATCTAACCCCGCCGTTGTCCTCGCGTCGCGTACACACCCCGAATTGAGCGGGTCCGAGTGACCCGCGATCCCATTTCACACAGCCCTGGGAGTTTTGCAAAAAAGAGGAGGCCGAAATACAACAACGTGGGCATGTTTCACCGTTGTCCATCTGTTATTACTATCTTTTTAGTGTTTATCGCCGAGGGTGTAAAAACCACCGGCCCGGGCGAGACTCGAACTCACAACCCCGGGATCTAACCCCAGCCAATGTCCCGCGTCGCGTACACACCCCGAATTGAGCGGGTCCGAGTGACCCGCGATCCCATTTCACACAGCCCTCAAGAGTTTTGCAAAAAGAGGAGGCCGAAATACAACAACGTGCGCGTGTTTCACCGTTGTCCATCTATTCTTACTACCTTTATTAGTATTTATCGGCGAGGTGTAAAAACCACCGCACCGGGCGAGGCTCGAACTCACAACCCCGGCATCTAACCCCAGCCGTTGCCCTCGCGTCGCGTACACACCCCGAATTGAGCGGGTCCGAGTGACCCGCGATCCCATTTCACACAGCCCTGGGAGTTTTGCAAAAAAGAGGAGGCCGAAATACAACAACGTGCGCGTGTTTCACCGTTGTCCATCTATTCTTACTACCTTTATTAGTATTTATCGGCGAGGTGTAAAAACCACCGCACCGGGCGAGGCTCGAACTCACAACCCCGGCATCTAACCCCAGCCGTTGTCCTCGCGTCGCGTACACACCCCGGATTGAGCGGGTCCGAGTGACCCGCGATCCCATTTCACACAGCCCTCCAGAGTTTTGCAAAAAAGAGGAGGCCGAAATACAACGACGTGCGCGTGTTTCACCGTTGTCCATCTATTCTTACTACCTTTATTAGTATTTATCGGCGAGGGTGTAAAAAACCACCGCACCGGGCGAGGCTCGAACTCACAACCCCGGCATCTAACCCCAGCCGTTGTCCCGCGTCGCGTACACACCCGAATTGAGCGGGTCCGAGTGACCCGCGATCCCATTTCACACAGCCCTGGGAGTTTTGCAGCCGAGTACAGCTGGTAGGAGAACGTGTTTCTGACACCCAAAGACAGGGGGAAAGGCCAGGGACAGTGTGTTTCTGAGCCCAGAGGTCAGCGAGCAGGGCAAAAAGAGCTTGTGTTTCCCGGCACCCTAGTACAGCTGGGAGGAGAACGTGTTTCTGACACCCAAAGACAGGGGGAAAGGCCAGGGACAGTGTGTTTCTGAGCCCAGAGGTCAGCGAGCAGGGTAAAAAAAAGAGCTTATGTTTCCCGGGAGACGAGTACATCT